AAAAAAAAGTGCCAAGCAAGGAACCGGAGCAAAAGCAACTCCTCCTCCAGCCGTGAGTCTCCCTCCAAAAGCGAGAGAGAGAGAGGTGAAGTGTGCTCCAGCCCATGCAAAGCTTCCCTTCCTCCTGCAAGAAGTAGCCTTGTTTGGTTCCCCCCACCCCACCCCACGCTCTTTGCACAGCTCGCTTGAGCATCAGATCCTCAGCTGTCCATCATCCTGAAGACCCCAGAAGCAGCGGTTATGCTGAAAGTCCTCTGTTTTTTTACTGACAGAAGCAATCTTGGTTGCCTACCAACAGTCACTGAGGGGACAGTTAGTCGCAGTTAGTCCCACACAGGAGCCAAGAGAAGTATCTTCCTCAGGAGAAAGTCTGGCTTTCCAGGAGCCCCAGCTCATTTCCTCCAGGCCAGACCCCCCCCCCGCTGCTGCTGCTGCTGCTTCTGCAGTGATTTTTTTATGCCCATGTAGAGAGCCCATCATCTCAATGGCATTAGACCTGAGGTTTTCTAACTCCTTCACCACCACCCACCCCCAATGTCAGTCGATATGGGGAGGAGAACAGCTCTGCTGGGACATTCCGATGCCAGCCCCTCACCTGGGAATAGTTTTGTTGCCACTAGAGACTGCCAGACGGCTGTTTAGGGGAGCACTCCACGAAAAGGGCAGCAGTGGTCAAGCTGTAGGAGGTGCTTTGCTGAGTTTGCTAGTGCTTCTGACCATTTATAAGCTGGACAAGAAGGTGATGGCCTTTCCCTTCTGTTTGTACCCAGCAGCATCTGGTCTGATGCTTCTCTCCATGGAGGTTCCATTTCGCTACAATGGCTAAATTCCAGGAGCCTGGCAGCTATGAATTTGCTAAACATTTTTTTTTTCTATTACACTTTCCCACTGCAGCATCGCCTTTCCACATGTGGTCCGGAACAACTAAAAAGAAATGTGGAAGTCTGATGGTATACAGGAAAGTCAGGTAACAAGTAAGGAGATGGAGTGTCAAAAAGATAAAACAGGTGAGGTATCTAGAGGGTCTAAATTGAGACTCGATATGAAGCACGTCAAAGTGAGCCACAATAGGCTGTGCTGGGATTCCCCTCCACCATAACCAAGGGTGCTCTCCCATATACGGTATCCAGTCTCCCTTCAGGCCTCCTGAGCAGTGAATTCGAGACTACGCTGGGCCCAAGGCTTGGCTCAGTGACCCCTTCAGCCATCTATGGAGTCTGGCAGCTGCCTAAATTTTACACAAGTCGGCCCCTGAGGGTCCTCTCTCTTGAGAGTTAGCCTCATTGAATAAACACACATGAACAGACACGAAGCTGCCTTCTACTGAGTCAGAGCACTGGTCTACCAAGGTCAGTTTTGACTACTTTGACTAGCAGCAGCTTTCCGGGGTCTCTTTCACATCTCCTGCTACCTAAGCCCTTTAACTGGAGATGCCAGGGTTTGAATCGAGAACCTTCTGCCTGTAAAGCAGATGTTCTGCCACTGCACCACAGCACTGGTATTTAATCAAATGGCACTTGCATCTGAGTAGACTTGCTTAAGTTTACTCCCTGCGCCCCTCCTCTATGGCTATATAGCCTTGTTTTAGTATTTTATGTGGACTTATGGTACTTGTAGGAGCTGCGGTGGCTCAGGTGGTTAAGACGCTGAACTGCAGGCTGTGGAAAGTCAGTAGTTCAGCAGTTCAAGACCCGGGTGCCGCAAGATGGGGTGAGCTCCTGTCTCTAGTTCCAGCTTCTGCCAACCTAGCAGTTCGAAAGCAAGAAATTGCAAGTAGATAAATAGGTACCACTTTGGTGGGAAGGTAACAGCATTCCGTGTGCCTTGGTGTTTAGTCATGCCGGCCACATGACCACGGAAAAGTCTTCGGACAGCGCTGGCTCTTCGGCTTTGAAACGGAGATGAGCACCGCAACCCTAGAGTCGGATTCGACTGGCTTTCGAGCAAGGGAACCTTTACCTTTATGGTACTTGTACCAATGAATGTAAGCTGCCCTAAGCCCGTTCGTGGGGAGGGCAGGATAAAAATAGAATTAAATAAATAAATACATAAATAATATTTTGCCCCGAGTGCCAAAACGCTTATAACCACAAGAGAGATGTGAGTTCGAGTCCCTTGTTGGCTAAGCCGATTCTCTCAATACTTCCTGTGAAAAGAGAATAAGACAGTGATGACCTCCCTCATAAAGTTGATAGATGACTGAAGGGGTCACTGAGCCCAACCCAATCTCAAACTCACTGCTCAGGAGACCTAAAGGGAGATTGGGAGTTAAAGGAAGATGAACGCTGTAATTGAGTTTTCACACTCTTAAGTGCCTCATCAACCATCAGCATTCATGTTGTCCAGTCTGCGTTATAAATAATATCCCCCTTCTCATCTCCGTTTTGTTCTCTTAATATGGACAAATGGATCCCAGCAACATATTTAAACACATATCCCTATTTGGTGCTTCAAGCATAAATTTAACAAAATAGAACTCCAAAGAATAAGGGAGGGTGGTAAATATCCAACACAAATCTTACCCCAACATTGAAGTCTCCTTGGATGGATAACAAGATACGTGGTGTCTAAGTAAGAAGGTGACAGCAGATTTGCTTGTAACCTGGGTACAGAGAAAATGACAAGGAAGGCAGGCAGATCAGAGGAATTCTCTCAGTTCCAGGACGGCACAGAGCTGGTTTATGCCACACTTGTTTGAAAAACTCCCACCTGCGCTCGTATTGCAAAATGTCTTTTCACATTTGTAGCGGAAGCACAGTATGAGCTAGCAAAAGCAAAGCCACATTTGCAATAAATTGAAGGACTGGGGGGAGACAAGAAACACCAAATCTCATTTTCCCCATATTCCTCCAAAATAATAGTAAAGGTAAAGGTTTCCCTTGTTCGAAAGCCAGTCGAGTCTGACTCTAGGGTTGCAGTGCTCATCCCCGTTTCAAAGCCGAATAATAGTTTTTGTTGTTGTTCAGTCGCACAGTCGAGTCCGACTCTTCACGACCCCATGGACTAGATCCCGCCAGGCCCTCCTGTCTTCCGCTGTCCTCTGAATAATAGTACCAGTGTTTTATTCTTAGGATTTTAACTGACATGGCAGACAACTTTTTAACAAAATCTTCACCATCTTACATGATTTTCTATGAACACCTAACCATCAGCATGTGACACGAGAAGAGAGGAATTTATGACAGACCAATGGCAAGAGCAAGAAAGTGGGTAGGTCTGTGGATAGGGTCGGCCTGCTCCTCTGGGTATACATGGATCCTCCCTTTTCCTCTGGGACTGTGGAGCGAAGAATTGTAGTCCCTGAGTGGAAGAGCCTCTGCTTTGCATGCAGAAGTCCCAGATTCAGTTCTTGGCATCTCCAGTTAAAAAAACTAGGCTCTCTCCTGTAATGTGACAGGCAGAGGAGGAGATTGGGTTTATATCCCGCCCTTCACTACCCAAAGGAGTCTCAGAGCAGCTTACAAACTCCTTTCCCTTCCCCTCCCCATAACAGACACCCTGTGAGGTAGGTGGGGATGAGCACTCCTTTTTTAATTTAGGTCAGTGGTCCCCAAGATGAGGGACTGTGGCTCAGAATAGGGTGACATGATTCAGTGGCGGAGCACCTGTTTGGCATGCAGAAGTTCCCAGGTTCAATCCCCGGCATCTTCAGTTGAAAGGATCTGGCAGTAGGTGATGTGAAAAACCTCCACCTGAGATCCTGGAAAGCCACTGCCAGTCTGAGTAGACAATTCTGACCTTGGTGGACCAGTGATCTGATTCTGCATAAGGCAGCTTCATGTTTGCTCGTGGAAAGGAACAAGAAGCACACACCCAACTCTCGTAACCTAACAGATTGTCAAGGGACTGGCTGAACACGGCTCCTCCCCTCTCTGCTCTGGGACACAAAAAGACTTGAAGTCGTGAGAAGATGGGAAGCCTGGGCTGTGCTCAGCTGACTTTCCAAGTTTGCAGTCCAGCAGTGGACACAACCATAATGCCCCAGTGCTGTATATTGGATGGGATGGAATCGGTGGCCAACGAAATAGCCATGCTGTGAGTATGGAGTCTGGCTGCCGTGAATGGGTC